ATCTGATTTACCAAAGTCCTCAAGGTCCCATTCAAGAGGTTCATGTGATTTTAGTTTGCCTGACCCTTGTGGCCGCTTGGGGAAAACACACTCAATTGGGAGCATTGCTGTTTCATTGCTGGTCGAGCTTTCAGCTCTATCTTCAAATATATTGCTCGAGTGTTCGTCATTTTTCCGGTGCTTCATCATTAAGGCAAGACGAGCACTGCATATTTTTGCCGTTCAGTGTTTTTTCATATACTTGTTAATTAATAAATATTAAGGTAATGTATCTGTACCTTAGAGCACTCGCGTAGTGCCTGCATTCGGCTTTCATGGGGCAAGCACTGCAGTTTGGGTTTCTCTTTGTGCAGAACACCTGAGTGTAATTAAGTGTTATTATTTGTCGCATTTTTATAAAGTACGAGGGTTTGATTGAAATAATACCTTTCCGAAAGTGATCATCTGGCAATGTAGCTCATACCTGCACCAAATATAATTTGTTGTGATACAAAGTTCTTGACAAACTATATTTTTAATGCATTTTATTATTATTATTATTATTTGTCTTACAATGTTGACACATCAAGTTCAGATAGTCGTGGCCAGAGATATTTCTGCACACTGTCTGGTTTCGGGTACCTATACAACATTATCAATTACTATCAAACAACATACTGCAATCGTTAATAATAAAAGTTGATACACTATTAATTCTAACTCTTTCAGTTGATGAAACGCCTGCCCTTGCCCTTGTGGAAGGGGTTGAATGGGGACCCATCCGAGACGTACGGCAATCCGCCCGGCGTTTGTGTCAATCTAAAATCATTTCAAGTCAAAGTACTTTTATTTTTCATTCAATCTTTATTAATCAAAAAACGAAAAAGCATGCATAAAATGAAAGATTGGCTAATAAAAGCTTACCGGGAATCCCTTCTGTGATAGTGACAACAAGCGTATGCACTCCACGCTTTTTAGCCCCAGCCCAGATATGCTCAACAAGTGTTCTCTAAAACCAGTAACATAAAACATGTTAAACATTCAGAAAAATGAATATACTTAATTGGCCAGGACAAAAATTATGAATACTTTACTTGTAGCTTGCTTTACCTGACCGTGTTATCCGGAACACCTTTTATCCATTCCAGGTTAAGAGAACCGAGATTAGTCGCCAACATATTGAGGCAATTCTACAAGACAACAAATAGCTTGGTAAATCAAATTATTCCTAACTAAAATTTGAATCACCGTAATTTAAAAGAAGAAGAAAATAAAAAACCTTTATTCTTGTGGCCAAATTATTGCTCATCCCTCGTTTTTCAATAGCCTTAGCTATTTCGTCAACTTCGGCCGTCTGAACTGCTCTCCAATCCAAAGCATCCGATGTGTGATTATCATATGTGTCGTCACCAAACTCACCTTCCATATAACGTTTCTTTAAAGCATCCCAACCATCTTCACTCCTCTTCCTTTTCCCTGCTATGAGTGCACGTTTTTTCCTTTCAGTAACACATGTTCTCGCATTCGTATTCCAGCTATGGGTCATGGGCAGGACCTCACCATTTATTATTTTCCTCCTTTTTTCAACTTCCGAACACGAGACTTTTGCACACATAGCTTTCCCCTTCAACACATGACTTTTCCTTCCAAAGTCAGTAGTTCGTGGCCTTTTCATTTTCCAACTGACCATAGTGTGCAGCATCTCCTCATGTTCTTTCGCTTTTGCTCCACTCGACCTCAGAGCCATTTTTTCAAATTCGGGTGGCAGAGAATGTACTTGGGCTGCCTCGAGCGGATACTTAGCCGCGAGGGATATGAAGGCAGAGCTGTTCAATAATAAAGAAAAAATGAATATCTCTAAAAGAAAAAAAAAAGAAAAAAAAAAGAATCATTGTTGCGACCTTGAAGAAGTGTCCTTCACGTTCTGTGTGAGGTACGCTCCCATTATAGAGTCCAAGACTGAACCTTTCCACTTGCAAAATTTTATTTCTCCTGCAAACTTCCATCAACTTTATACACGCACTTAATTCCAAAATTCCAAAATGATCTAATATGTTCACATGTACTAAAAAACACTTTAAGTAATTTGGACAACAACTAATACAAGTCACCTTGGATAGGTCGTATGCTGGAAACAAAAGATTCGACCCGCTCGACAAAAGATCTCCTCTCCTTCTCCCACCACTCGATTTCACCTTCAACCGAGTCTTTACTAGAATCGAGTTTTCCAGTCGAGATTTCCCATTCTCTCATTGTCCTCTCATCGAGCTCGACTTTCGGTGCCAAATGCTTTCCTTCGTTGTCAGTTTCATTCGACTTTTTGGCATTCTTTTTCCTCGTATAGACCAAAACATTTTGAGGGACTGATGGCTTTTTCCCATATTTTTTCCTCCTCCTTGTATAGACCAAATCATTTTTAGGGCAGCAAGCAGAGGACCCCAATTCAGGTTGGGGGCCTTCACTTGACTTAGCAGAGATTGATTTTGTCACTGCACCACAATATGACAATTTAGAGCACAAAAAAAAAAAAAAAAAAAAAAAAAAAAAAAAAAAAAAAAAAAAAAAAAAAAAAAAAAGTTATCAAGATATGTATGACATAATACCACTGAAAAATATCGAGCAAGCAAACACAATCTATTGTTTGTAAGAAAATAATAATAAGAATTTCAACTTTCAATCACTTTAACTCTCTCAATTATAAACAACATCAAATCACATTTCATGTAATAATCACACTCTCATAAGTTAATGTAATTTTCACTGTCAATATTTCTTACTATGATCTCCCTAACTTTCTTGTGGAGTCCTACACATATATAGAGGCCATAACAAACATAAAGTCAATCTTTCTTTTGTTTTTTTTTTT